AATATGATCTCAAGGTACATCGATTTAGCTAGAAATGTGTCAGGCTTGTCATTGCTTATGGCTGAGTGGTACTTCATTGTGTGAAAAACGCACATTGTCTTTATCCCTTCATCCACTGATGAGCATTTGGTCTGTTTTCAAGATTTAGCTATTACAAATTGTGCTGCTATAAACATGGGTGTGCATATATTGCTGTGGTAGAATGCTCTGAAATCTTCTGGGAAAATACCAAGGTGTATGTGGGGGAATAACTAGGTCAGTTAGAACCTTTAGTTTTAGTTTTTGGAGGAATCTCCATTCTGATTTCAACAGTGGTTGTACCAGTCTACATTCTTTTCAACAGTGGAGAATGATTTATTTTTTTTCCATAGCACCATCAGCAACAACCACATGATCATCTCAGTAGACACAGAGAAAACATTTGACAAAGTCCAACACACATTCATGATAAAAACCCTACAGAAAATTGGTGTAGATGGTCTTTAGTTCAATCTGATCTGTTCTTTGGAGGATGGAAAATTATGGGACAGAGTTGGCCAGGAGAGGTTTTGCAAACACAACAATAATTGGGTATCTGAAATGAGACTTTGTCAAGTACTGTGGAGAACAGCTTTCTAGATAGGACAGGCTTACAAGGGCTCCAACAGGATTTAACTTGAGTTTTAGACCAATAAATGCTCTGCTATGTGATTTGAATAAGTTACTTCCTTAACATGAAGATAATAACCCATCTTTTAGGAGTACTTAGAGTATTGGAGATCATATTTAATAAGCCTAGCCCGTGCTAAGGGCATAACTTCTCAAACTGTTCTGCTTTCAGATCATTTACATGCACCTCTATGTCACCTCTTGACCATCTTGTCTGAAGTGACTTCCCACTGTGACCATGATCTTTATTTGGTTACATAAGTTTTCCAATCTCTGCCTGAAACACAAGCTCTGTGAAGGCAGGTATTTGTCTTGTTCAGTCTTATATTTCTAGCATCTACATGATGCTTAATAAATATCATTATCACGAATGTTAGAGAACTCTGTAAGGTCATCACTATTTGTAGAAATTATGCAGTATATCTTGGGGTTTATTAATGGAGCAAAGGAGAAGGATTATAAGGAGCTAGAGGGTTTGGGTTTCATCTGGCAGATGTTTCTGTAGGATTTAAATAGGAACCAAAGTTCACCTTGTCAGTAGGCACTGGAATCAGCAAGTGGCAGATTATTGGCACTGTGAATTAAGGAATGCTAAGGCCTTTCATACTGTGGCTGGGAGGAAGTTCTCTTATAATATATCACCTCTATTCCTTTGTCATATGACAATGTGATGTCTGTGTATTTGGAAGGAGTCCCATGGACTTTCTACAGTGAAGAAAATAGTTCACCTTCTCCATTAAGAAAGAAGAATCATGATTATTTAGGCAAGCACATCCTTATAAAGTTGTTACATGTAGGATCGCAAAATACTGAGGTAGAATCACTTATAATTGTGTGGTCAAGAAAAGGATATCCTGGGGCAGGGGAGATGGTTCAGTAGGATAAGCGCTTCCCTGGCAAGCTCAAGGGCCTGAGTTCAATCCCCAGTTCCACCAAAAGAGAGAGAGAGAGAGAGAGAGAGAGAGAGAGAGCGAGACAGAAAGAAAGAAAGAAAAGGATGCCCTGAGATGTTTGCTGAAGTACTGATTCTCTAGACTACATTCCTTCCACTGCACTCTGCTGTCTTTCCTTAATGGAAATATTTTGACTGTTTATCTCCCACTTTTGGTCTTTTTGTGGGACTGTTACTGTGATGGTGATTGACTCAGAGATGAGCATTTGTCCAAAGCAAGACCGATTAAATTCAACCCTAGGTACACTTATGGATACATTATAGAATTAACTAGGCATTTCAGGTTGTGCTGGCTAAACTTAACTTTTTCAACTTGATTGGCCTGAGCTCTGCCTGGGAGATTAGTAAAGCATACTTCTGGGCATTTCTTGGTGGGTCATAGAGGCATGACATGTTCTGTAGCTGGTCTCATACCCTTCCTTCGTCTCTGTCCTGTTTCTCTGCTTTGCTTCCTGACTATCAAGAATCTTGCCATAGGGGGCTGGGGAGTGACTCAGTGGAATAAGCGCTCCCCTGGCAAGTGCAAGGGCCTGAGTTCAATCCCCGGTTCTGAAAAAAAAAAAAAAAAAAAAAAAAAAGAATCTTGCCATGCTGTATCTGATTTGGAGCCAGGTGAACATGAATTGAGTCTTCTGCAAGCATTATTTAGGCACATAATTTGTTCCTTTAAGTTGAGAGTGTTAGATACTTGGTTCCATCAGTGGGAAGGCTAACATGTGAGTTAAATGTCATTAATTAAATGAGTGGATTTCACAAACTATATTTATATTTTGGAAAATGGAATTGCCATATAGAAATGTAAAAGAGAGCAATTTCACAACTTTATGATACTTTAATTTCCTGAAAACCTTTGGTATTGGAAAACAGATCGAGCAAGAGCTCTTTAATTATTTGTTGGATGATATTAAATGGCAAAAAGGAGAGTCATTAGTATAATAAAATATGTACGCTTAGCAACACTAAGTGAACAGAGTGAAAAAATGTTACCTTATCTTTCAAATTTATTTCAACTAAATTTACGCTCAGTATTCCCTATGGCTGCCTCCAAAGTTTCCCAATTTATTACAAAGCTAAAACATTAATGTTTTAAAAATTTTTTTCCTAATACTGTGAGAGTGTTTTGACAGCAAAAACACTTTGCCTTTATAAATGTTTGTATTTCTCTGTTGGCAGATAACCTCTCATGTTAACCACACATGCATAAAGCATTCTTAGTCATCCTGCCTCTCCCATTAGCCTCTGTAAGGCACATAGGCCTCAGAGTGGTTCATTTCCTCTCTCTGGCTGAATGTCCACTGTTCTGTGGTGTAGTAAGTTATTTACATATACATTAAAGGAGCATAGTCCTCAGTGCCCCCTAAAGGCTGTGTTACAGTTGCTATGCCTGTAAAGGTGATAAAGGTACACTGCCTGCTTCTCAGTAGTTCATAGGCCAATGATCAGATTATAAATACAGAGATTCTGCTTCTGTAGTCAATCTACAATGTATTCTCAAGCAAATGTTCACCCATAATAATGAAAATAGATACTTAGAAAGCATACTGCTGACAAGAAAGGTGTTAAGGGATTTGATGTGCCACTAACCTCTTTTACCACTGGAGGTTCTGATCAGTGGTGTACATACACAAAAATCCATGGACCCATGAGAAATGAACTTCATTTTAGTATGAAAGGAAGATCCTCTGTAAATTCTCAAACACGATGTTTCTGTTAAATTCTATCATATAATCTGCTTTAGTCTTGAGACTGAAATGGGTTTTTTTCTCCCACCAAATGGAGGTGGCCAAATTCACAAAGAAGTTGATTTACTTGTCAATATTTGGGAGAGACCTTGGAATAGAGAGATAAAGGACAAGCAGGTCCAGTACACCCAGAAGGACATCAAATATAGGCAAGATACATGGAATGAATGGAGACTGATCCTTAACATAGTGATCCAAACTATTAGTAAAACTTTTCTAATGAATGTTACATTTAAGCCTTGATGTTTAGCCCAAAATCATCCTTTGTTGACCCAAGGGTCTACAGTAACTATCGTAGTACACCTTTAATTTAGGCCTTTATCATAGAAGTTGAAGCTTTTTCCTAAAAATATGCACATGAGGGAGTGACAGGATTAGAGTGGATTTTTAGCAAAAGTACTTTGGCAGCAAGTAGAGAACAGAGTAGAAGGTGCGTTGTGCTATCTTTTAGAAAAGATTGAATTTCTAGCCCACAGTAGCTAAGGGTGTAACTGGAAGGAGGGTCATTGAAAATGTAATTAGCCATAATTGAGATGGGTGGGTCAATATTCCAATCAAGCTGATATTCTTCTGAAAAGGAATATTTAGACACAGAGATAGACATCTCTGGAGGGAAGATGATATGAAGAAACACAAGTGGAAGATGGTCATCAGTAAGTCCTGGCAAGACCTCCACCAGGGTCTTTTCTTACACCCATCAAGAGTATGACATATTCATTTCAGACCTTTGAGTTCTCAGGCAGAACTGTGAGACAATAAATTTTTTACTTTTAGGTTACCCAATTTTATTATGTAGCTAAAGGAAGTTAGTCCAGAATCGAAGACCAGAGATCAGTTAAAAACTTGAACTAGGGTGGTAGAATGGGACGTAGAGGAGAGTATTTGAAAGATATTGATTAAGTAGAACTGATAGTACTTCATCATAATTGTACATAGGGAGTTAACATAGTGATTAAGACAGATCTAGATTTTAGTCCTGACTTTTACTGCTTACTGGTGTGAACTTCAGCAAGTCATTCATCTTATTTATATTTCCATTTCATTATCTATACAGCAAGACTTCTTATAGCTTCTTTGATGTTTAATTTTATGAGTTACCTTGCCTGAACTAAGAGATGCCCATGTAGCTGATAAAATATTCTTTCTAAATGTGTCTTTGAGGGTTTCCACAGATGGTATTAGCATTTGAGTCAGTAGAATAATAGCTCTCCATCTCTCTCACCAATGTAGTTGAACATAATCCAATTTGTTGAAGTCCTACATAGAATAAAATGTGGAGAAAGAGCAAATTTCCTTTTACTGTTTGGCTGGAACATTCTCTCTCTTTTTTTTCTTTTTATCTTTGAACATTAAAGCTTCTGATTTGCAGAAACAGACTAGGATTTATGCCATTGGCTATTCTGATTCTCAAGATCTTGACCTCAGATGGGATGATATCACTAATTTACCTGGTACTCCAGTAAGAAGATGACAAGTTGTAGGATTTCTTTAATCACATGAACAAAGTTGTGTAATAATCTACATAGGTCATAAGATAGACAGAGAGATAGATAGAAATGTATTTTGGAGTATTTGAACTGCAGTGGCCGGAGAGGAGTGGCTAGAACCTTGCAAATATCCACATTTCCACCACTGTGCCTGATAGAATTTTGATTCATCATGGATCATCTGTCACCTGAAGACATTCAGCTAAGGGCTAACCAGCTTACTGATGAGTCTCTGGAGAGTACAAGGAAAATGCTGGACTTAGCTGTACAGTCTGAAGATGCAGGAATCCAGACCATCACCATGCTGGGTGAACAAGGGGAACAACTAAACTGCATAGTAGAAGGCATGGACCAGATAAATAAAGATATAAGAGAGACAGAGAAGACTTTAACAGAGTTCAACAAGTGCTGTGGCCTTTGTGTCTGTCTATGTAGCAGGACAAAGAACTTTGAGTCTAGCAAGGCCTCTAAGGCAACATGGGGAGAAGGTGGAGAAAAATCATCCAGCAAGGTGGTATCCAAGCAACCAGCGAGAGTTACAAATGGGCAGCCTCAGCAGCCCGCTACCACAGTGGCCAGTGGTAGATGCATTAAACAGATAACCACTGATGCCAGAGAAGAAGAGATGCAGGAGAACCTGACTCAAGTGGGCAGTATCCTGGGAAATCTAAAAAAAATGGCCTCGGACATGGGCAATAAAATTGAAGTTCAAAATCGACAAATAGACGCAATCACAAAAAAGGTTGATACTAGCAAAGATCATATTGATGTTGCCAATACTGAAGCAAAGAAACTCATTGACAGCTAAAGCTGCTGCTGTATTTCATTAGCATTTATCCACTTTCCTAGTTACTCCTCCCATGCCATTGCCTTTTCAGAGTTATAAATTTTGATCTAATCTGAAGTTTTATGCTGATCGGGAGGTAATGTAGAAGACAGGCCGGTGGAGTAACAGCCTCCCTACTTTATATTCTGTTTCTCTTGAAGGTAGCCTACTGTTCTGTCTTCACTGTTTTTTCTCTTCATAGTCTTATGTTGGTTTTCATACATCACATCTAGGAAGAAAGGAGAAATACTATCCTCTTCACCCCAGCAGGTTCTTTTCCTTTTGTGATTTGTGCCAAAGGTGGCCTTAAAGAAGGCAACTGTGGAGGTATTTTTTGTTTCTGTTTGTCCACTTTGGTTTATAGTAGGTGAAGGACAAGAGAGAAGAGGTTGTTACCTCAGTAAAAAACAAAAACAAACAAACAAAAAAAACCATGCAGGCCACAAAAAAAAAAGCTGCATAGCTACAATAAAGGCCCAGTCATTTTTGGTTTAATTATGGGTAATTTCACTGTTATTCTCTTAGCCTTGCATAGTGAACTATGTAGATCTCAAATATTATTATGGGAATATAATCAATATTTGTCACCTTTATTTGAAAACTAGCATCTGTACACCTCAGAGCTGTGCCTGCTGTTATTCAATATCAGCCAGATATTATTTAGCTTTTTATTTAAGTTGCATTTTTACAATTAAGGTTAATGCTTGGCTTTGGAACTTTTACACACAGTATCTTTATCTTACATCACCATTTTGTAACCCTTTCTACAAAGAGTAGAATAAGTTGAGTTTTTTTCTTGTAAGCTTAGCTGGACAGCATGGCACACACCTGTAATTGCAGCAATTGGGAGCTTGAAGTAGGAGGATCACCACAAGTTCAATGCCAGCCTTGAATTCAGGGCATTTTGAATTAAAAAATTCATGCATGTACATAGATTCTGTGATCCCAGTTCATACTGCATATGCAGGAACAGTTTGTACAGATTTATGGCTTTTTGTTTTCATATTAGTAGTAGTTTCACAATCCCATTACGGACTTATTAACCACATAAGCTTGTCATTAGTGTTTGAAGAGAAAATGTAAATATATCTGTGAAGAATCTCTAAAGCAAGGATTACATTTCTTTTGAAAAAGTTTAGCAAAATACATGAATTCAGATTCACCTCAATTCTGAGCATTATGGTTAGATAGGAAACAGAAAACTTACTTTGATCTCGGTAGAAAAGATTTGTTTCATCTAGCTTTATATGATTAAAAAGCTAGAATGGACTTGGAAATTAAATCTTTGGTTTAATTATTGGTAATTTCACTGTTACTCTTTTAGCTTTGTGTAGTGAACTATGTAGATCTCAAACATTGTTATGGGAATATAATCAATATTTGTCACCTTTATTTGAAAACTAGCATTTGCATACCTCAGAGCTGTGCCTGATATTATTCAATATCAGCCAGATATTATTCAATAAGAGTAGACATACTAGAGATAAATGGCTTTGAGAGACAGAATGATAAATTCAGTTTTAGTTAAACTTAAAATAGACAAGCAAATTACTTATTACTATAAATATACTGCCTTACCTTTGTGCTTGCCTTCATAAAGTTTAAGTTTTACATTAATCAAAAAATTCATATTGTCCATTGAAGATAATCTTACATATAATATGAAATGAAGACCAGTGGTCATTATGTTATTAAAGGAAAGAATTACAAAAACATTTCTTAAAACTATCTAAAAATCTATATTGATCAGATTGGTTGTTACTTTGGAGATAAGAGTATTGACTTTTGACAACTTGACCAGCTATTATTTCTTAATTAACCTAGGGTTGTCAACTTAATGTTACCCTCTCTCTCAGATGAATGATCTTCAATGTGGTGATCTATAACAAATAAATTGAGTCACCTGACAGAAATTATCCTTGGCAGGGTTTTAGTTCTAGGATTCCCCAGTAAAAATACAGGACATCCAGTTAAATTTGAATTTCATATGGACAAAAAATATTCTTTAAGCATAAGTATGCCTATGATATTGCATTTTACATATTTATACTAAAAGACATATTTATCTGAAATTTAAACTTCACTAGTGTCATGCAGTTTTATTAAATCTAGCAACCCTGTGTCATGTTCCTATTGATGGAATGAGCTTCTGTGAAGATATCTAAAACAGATTAGGTCCATAATCATCTGGATTTGGGGGAAAGCTTACCTAATTCCTGGCCTACCTTATTTCTCAAGAAACTTTCTTAGGCTTACAGATTTTCAGTTAATATTTTAATTACAAACAAAATCAAGTACATAGTTAGGGAATACTTTAGGCAATATAGTATTTAATACTATTCAGAGACTGAAAGCATCAACCACATGTATAGTTTCTCAGAGTGGTGGCTTTACAATTATCTGTTTAACCCATCAATTTTCCATGCTTTATATATAATGAACAGACCAAAAAAACAAGTATGTCATCTTATTTCATGAAGATGAAAAATTTTTTTATGTGCTCACCTTCCTATAATGTTCTCATATAGAGATAATATAATTGCAACCCAAGAAACAAAATCGCAAGCTATTTTTTGAAGTATTGGAATTATAGTGAAAATTTAAATGAATTTGAGTTGGGATTAAATGCCATGTGATTTCAGGGTAGGCTTTACCTCTTTTTGTGGGTTCTTGTTTAGTTTCCTTTCAATCTATTTATTGTGTTGTCTTTTGGATTTGAGAAGGAGATGCCACGGGCCCTTCTGTGATGCCTTAAACATTCACAGTCTAAGAATGGCACACAAGAGAACACTGGGAAATGTTGGTTGTACACCTAGCTATATGATTCAGGTTGCTGCTGAAATTTCAATGGCTAGTTTGTGCTTATTCACTTAAAATTAATCAGATATTTTTACCATAAGGAGTGTCACATTGAGTTTTGAAAATGATTTATGTTCTTTCTGTGCCTTTCTACAATGTGAGCAAAGTATTTATGCAGAGAGATGATGATTTCTCCAAGTATTTTCTTATGTATTTAAAAGTTTGTTGTTAGATATTTTAAAACTTGAGGTAAATTAGAAATACAAATACAGTGAGTTTCAATTGCTGAAGAGAATGAAGCAGTGTCAGTAATTCCAGGAGAACAAATTTTCTGAGAAAATCAAGGTGATTTATTTATAAAATTCTGTCATTGAAAAAATAAAAGGCACTGAACATTTTTATTCTCAGTGTTTTTGCGTTGGTCTGTGATCACAGGACTTTCAGATTTGTCTTATGGCATCCAGAGAACAGATGCGAGGGAAAGCTTTCTTGGTCTTTAATAAATGAGCATCCCTCAACTCCTCTATTTCTGTTCTTTAGCTGTAAGGAGCAAAGGAAGGTGGACACAGGAATAAACTCACAACAAGAACCATGGAAGCATAAGTTTCTGCATTGTTGATATGCTTTAATCATAGGGTATGATTCCCAATAAATTCAGGGGTTGTTGGAAGCATTGTGGAAGAATCCATATGGTGTCATGAATCAGGGAAGACATTTCAGAGGAAGTTCTTCAGAACTGTGAACGAAATGATGAAGGAGTTGATGCTGAGAAGGGTGTTCCAGTTGGAGGAAAGTGGATGGAGGAAGAGCCATAAATTGAAAAACTTAAGAGTTGAAATCAATTTAACATGCCAACCAGAGTCCTCTAACAAATCAAGTAAAATTTTATATAAATCATTTTAAAAAGAGGATTTTGATGTAAGAACTTTGCTGAAGAACCAATCATGGGTTTAGTGTTACAGAGAGCATAATAAAATTTATGTTCTTCAAAAGATATCACTGGTTTCAGTATGGAGAATGGCCTAGAGGGAGACAAAATAAGAGTTGTTACAATGCTTTTCCAGTAATCCTGGTGACCTGAATCAGGAAATTGGCTACAGCTATGGAGGAAACTGAGTAGGTTCAGTAAGTTTTTAAATGGCAGAGTTGGCTTCGTAAAAAGAATCACTGCATGGACTGAAATGAGGAAGGCTGTAGAATGATTTCCAAGTTTCTGGATTTGGAAATTAGGTGGGTAATTTATGATAGTATAAAAAGTAGAGGAATGGGTGTGTATAGGGAATCAAGGAAAATATAATGAATTTAATTTGAGGAATTGAACATTTATTTAGTCAATACATATCTATAGAGTCTTAATTATACAGAAAACAACATAAGGGTGTTTCAGGGTAGGGCAAAGTGCATACTCTTTTAAAGATTACTGTTTTAAAGATCTAATGGGAAGATGCGCAAAAAAATAAATGTTTTCAATAACCCTGAGCATAGAATGTAGTTAATGTAATAATAGTTGTGTATTAGTTTCACCATGAAAATAAGAACACAGACATTAAGAAGCACTGCAAGAGCCTGCTAGATAGCTCAGTGGAATTAAAGCACCTGCTTAGGCAGATGCAGAGACAGAGGTTCCATCCCAGTGTGCGGAGCAGTGCTGACCCCTCCCTCATGGTGCACTAAGAGTTAAGACGGTGATTGAGACAGGGCATGGTGGTATGCACCTATAATCCCAGGGCTTGGGAAGCTGAAAACAGGTGGAGCATTGAGTCCAATCTGTGTAGTGAGAACCTGTACACTCTGAGCTAAATACAAAAAAGAAGAAAAGAGGGAGGGGAAGAGGAAGGGGAGGGGGAGGAGGAAGGGAAGGGGAAGGGGAAGGAGAGGAGGGAAGGAGGGGAAGGAGAGGGAGAGGGAGAAGGACTGCATACTCTTACCCTGTCCATCTTTGGCCCATTTTCACTTTCCTTAAATATTCAATAGTGCCTCATCCTTTCTCATTGTCAGTACACTTCACCAGAGGTAAGCAGCTCATCTTTCTACCATAAATTCTACTGGCCTAGCTGCAGGTATATTCATATATTCTGTCTTCCCATTCTTTGATACCAATAAGCTGTCCCTGCTCCTTCTCATGGTCAGATTTTCTACTGCTCGTCCACATCCCTTGGGCACACATAAGAACATAGGGTAGT